TAATGAGACTGTACCAGATCCTGTCATTGTAGGCAGTAGTGTTCTCGGTAAGTAGACAGAGATCTACAGAGAATTCTACAACCTAATGAGACTGTACCAGATCCTGTCATTGTAGGCAGTAGTGTACTCGGTAAGTAGACAGAGATCTACAGAGAATTCTACAACCTAATATAATGAGACTGTACCAGATCCTGTCATTGTAGGCAGTAGTGTACTCGGTAAGTAGACAGCGATCCTAGATTCTGATGAATAGGGTACAAAGGAGAGTGTGGAGTCTTATGCATTGAGTGCATTTAGAGATTCTGGATTCAAGTGTTGAGTGTATACAGGGCCTTGGAGTCTCATATGTTGGCTGTACTGGATAAGTATACAGAGTTTTTAGTGTATTGTGATGCCATCACAATACTACAAATAAGCAAAAAAAAATTGCAAGGGAACAGACCCAACTTTCATAATGCTAGTGATTGGTTACTACGAAATATAGAATTAATGGGGTTATTGAGTATGGTAAAAAACTCTTTTGAAAGAAAGTAGATGTTAGGATAAATTTAACGATTAAAATTTTAGAATCAATGTTTTGTAGGTTTGATTTATTCCTTCGGAGGATGATACATGCATGCCTTTGACAAGTTGTCATTAAGCCAGGTGACAGCTATATACAGGATACAATTTGACGATTAAAATTTTATAATTATAATGTCTTGTAGGTTTATTCCTTCGAAGGATGATTCATGCCTTTGACAAGTTGTCGTTCAGCCAGGTGACAAAGCTATATACACGATACAAGGACTACTACGAGGCCTTTAACACTCCCCTGGCTGCTGAGGAGAGTGATAATTTCGGAGGTTCCCTCATCGACTCCATCACCAGCCAATGTGGTCTGGGCAAACTCACAAGGAGTGGACTGGCCAAATCATTTGACCCCAATAACCTTGGGGAAGGGTAAGTACAATAACCTTGGAGAAGGGTTATTAGAGTAACCTTAGGGGAAGGTTTAGTACAATACCCTTGGAGAGGGGTTATTACAGTAACCTTGGGGAAGGGAAAGTACAATAACCTTGGAGAAGGGTTATTAGAGTACCCTTAGGGGAAGGGTTAGTACAATAACCTTGGAGAGGGGTTATTACAGTAACCTTGGGGTAGGGTAAGTACAATAACCTTGGAGAGGGGTTATTACTGTAACATTGGGGAAGGGAAAGTACAATAACCTTGAAGAGGGGTTATTACAGTAACCTTGGGGAAGGGAAAGTACAATAACTTTGGAGAGGGGTTATTACCGTAACCTTGGGGAAGGGAAAGTACAATAACCTTGAAGAGGGGTTATTACAGTAACCTTGGGGTAGGGTAAGTACAATAACCTTGGAGAGGGGTTATTACTGTAACCTTGGGGAAGGGAAAGTACAATAACCTTGGAGAAGGGTTATTATAGTAACCTTAGGGGAAGGGTTAGTACAATAACCTTGGAGAGGGGTTATTACAGTAACCTTGGGGTAGGGTAAGTACAATAACCTTGGAGAGGGGTTATTACTGTAACATTGGGGAAGGGAAAGTACAATAACCTTGAAGAGGGGTTATTACAGTAACCTTGGGGTAGGGTAAGTACAATAACCTTGGAGAGGGGTTATTACTGTAACCTTGGGGAAGGTAAAGTACAATAACCTTGAAGAGGGGTTATTACAGTAACCTTTGTGAAGGGTAAGTACAATAACTTCGGAGAGGGGTTATTACCGTAACCTTGGGGAAGGGGAAGTACAATAACCTTGGATATTAAAGGGTTATTAGAGTAGCCTTTATAAAGGATTAGTTCATACAGCAATCTATGAGAAATGTAAGTGCAGTCATTTTGGGGAAGGTGTAGTACAGTAGTCCTAGTGAAGGTATTTTCAGTAATCATGGGGGGAAATGTGTGCAGTAATCTTGCTTTTGTGAATCATGAGGAGTAATATGAAGAGATGGTGCACATCACCTAATTGTGAAGAATGCATACTTTGTTGATTCTTTCTAAAGATCTTTCATAAAGTTATGAATTAATGAAAAGGAAAAACAATATCTCGGTGCCATCTTGTTTAAATGTGTCAAAATAAGCATTCACAAGATACATTATGTATGAATTCATAAAAGCAAAAAAAAAATATAATTAATGTAATATATAAGTTAAATACAGTACTTCGTTCTTTGATGGATATGCAGAGTTTGGTAAATGGTGATGATAAGATTATTTTGATGTTGATTTTCAGAAAATTTGGAGAATTCGAAGGAGGATTTTACTCTCACAAACAAGCTGAATATTTTATTTCCAGACAGGTAAAATGAAACTTGTCACGCTTAACAACCAAATTATTCTTAGCTCACCAAGCAGAATGGGTTATCTTTTCTATTTGAAATATACATATCAGTGAAAGTAAAAACCCATTGAAGTCTTTTAATAAAGCTAAAATCAAGAGTTACCAAAATTATGATAACCTGATATGTATATAATAATTACATTTCTTCAAAGAAACAATCAAAATACTGTACTATTAACTCATATCATGACTGACCCTCTATAAACTTTGTATAATTACCTTTTTTTTTAATACTTTTTTCACCAACGCAGTGAAACCATTTATCATGTGAACTGATAGATTTCTATCCATTTTCCAGGGGTTCTTGCTACAACACAATGAGAGTGAGGCATTGGCTCCAACCAAGCTGCAGGAGAAGATCACAGACATGTTAAAATCTAACCCAGACATTGCCGAGGCGGTATGTCTGCTGTCATGTTTATATAACAGACATGTTAAAATCTAACGCTGACATCACAGAGGCGGTATGTCTGCTGTGATGTTTTTATAACAGACATGTTAAAATCTAATGAGAGTTTTTTTTTATTACCTTTTTTTTTAATTCTTTTTTCACCAACGCAGTGAAACCATTTATCATGTGAACTGATAGATTTCTATCCATTTTCCAGGGGTTCTTGCTACAACACAATGAGAGTGAGGCATTGGCTCCAACCAAGCTGCAGGAGAAGATAACAGACATGTTAAAATCTAACGGTGACATCACAGAGGCGGAATGTCAGCTGTCGTGTTTATATAACAGACAGGTTAAAATCTAACCCAGACATCGCAGAGGCGGTATGTCTGCTGTCGTGTTTATATAACAGACTTGTTAAAATCTAACCCAGATATCACAGAGGCGGTATGTCTGCTGTCATGTTTATATAACAGACATGTTAAAATCTAACCCAGATATCACAGAGGCGGTATGTCTGGTGTCATGGTTATATAACAGACATGTTAAAATCTAACCCAGACATCACAGAGGCGGTATGTCTGCTGTCGGGTTTATATAACAGACATGTTAAAATCTAACGGTGACATCACAGAGGTTGTATGTCTGCTGTCGTGTTTATATAACAGACATGTTAAAATCTAACCCCGACATCACAGAGGCGGTATATCTGCTGTCATGTTTATATAACATAAATGTTAAAATCTAACCCAGACATCACAGAGGCGGTATGTCTGCCGTCATGTTTATATAACAGATATGTTAAAATCTAACCCCGACATAACAGAGGCAGTATGTCTGCTGTCATGTTTATATAATAGACATGTTAAAATCTAACCCAGACATCACAGAGGCGGTATGTCAGCTGTCGTGTTTATATAACAGACATCTTAAAATCTAACCCAGACATCGCAGTGGCGGTATGTCTGCTGTCGTGTTTACATAACAGACATGTTAAAATCTAACCCCGACACCACAGAGGCGGTATGTCTGCTGTCATATTTATATAACAGACATGTTAAAATCTAGCCCCGACATCACAGAGGCGGTATGTCTGCCGTCATGTTTATATAACAGATATGTTAAAATCTAACCCCGACATCAAAGAGGCGGTATGTCTGCTGTCATTTTTATATAACAGACATGTTAAAATGTAACGGTGACAGCGCAGAGGCGGTGTGTCTGCTGTCGTGTTTATATAACAAACATGTTAAAATCTAACGGTGACATCGCAGAGGCGGTATGTCTGCTGTCGTGTTTATTTAACAGACATGTTAAAATCTAACGGTGACATCACAGAGCCGGTATGTCTGCTGTCGTGTTTATTTAACAGACATGTTAAAATCTAACGGTGACATCCCAGAGGTTGTATGTCTGCTGTCGTGTTTATTTAACAGACATGTTAAAATCTAACCCTGACATCACAGAGGCGGTATGTCTGCCGTCATGTTTATATAACAGATATGTTAAAATCTAACCCCGACATCCCAGAGGCGGTATGTCTGCTGTCATGTTTATATAACAGACATGTTAAAATCTAATGAGAGTTTTTTTTTATTAAGGCGAACATTAGTACACAACAGAATAAATGCAGCAATAAAATGTGAAGGGCCAAATTAACACGGGGCGAATATGGATTTCACTGGCGAAGAGCAAATTTTTGACTTGGTGAAAATGTTCCTGTATGCAAGGGAAGCAATTTCGAACTGGTGTATTTCATGATAGGATTGACTTGTATTATAAGAAGTCTATAAACATCTTGAAGTAGTATATGTTATGAATGTGCTTTTTCAAGTTTATAAATAGTCTATATTCGATTGCTGTAATACATTTTTAATATGTCATATTTGGTATTTTACAGCACTTCCTGAGTTATCTGAACAACCTACGGGTGCGTGAGTACTGTACAGCCGTACACAACCTGTACCATTACTTCGACCGTAACAATACTCTGTCAGGGGGAAACGCCATGCAGGTCAGCAGTAAGAACCGTGAAGAGGACAACATCAGCCGGAGATATGCTGCTCTCAACCTCGCTGCTCTACATTTTCGCTTCGGTCACAGGTAAGAAAACAATGCAATAATGTTAGAAAAAAAGACTTAATTTGTGACTGTGCAAGAAGAACTTTTATCATCAGAAATGAACCTTATTTGTTGACAGTTTGAAAGGCTTATTTTTCTGTTCATAATTTTTCTCTTCTTCTTGTATTAAATATGACCACTCATGTTTAACATTTTATTTACAGAGATGAGTCTCTAGCAGCACTACGAGAGGCTATCAGTATGGCCCAGGAAACCAACGACCATGTCTGTCTACAGCATGCATTGGTAGGCATAGCTTCATCAAACTGAACGAATGCGTAAACGACATAATGCGTACATGTCATAATGCGTAAATGTCATTGAAAATTTTCTAAATCATCAGATAGTAAAGTTTTAAAACTACCAATCAGTTTTAATAGTGTGCTATAACAATGGAAGATAACATTTGAGAAAATTAGTAAAAGAAATCAACTAGATCTTCTTAAACAAATCAATATGTCCAAAACCAACATTATGGTCACCTTCCCTGTGCTTTTAATAATCTTTGAAATGTCATTGATATACAAGATATTTTGTCAAGGTGAGTAATTTAATCTGCAAATGAGTAAATGTTTTTAATATGTTGGTTTCCATTGGTCCTTTTATTTGTATGTTTCATTTGTGACTGATGAGAGAAACAAGATGACCACCAGCTTGCTGCCATCTTCTGCCAGTTAAAAATTAGTTATTGCCATTTCTTAAGATTTGCTCCAGTTATCAAAAGATGCATTGACTGTTTAATTGACTCACTCCAAAAGGGAAATGTCAAACTTACATTCAAATGATGGAAATCTTTCAAAAAGTTGGGGCAAGGAGCCCTCTGGGATCTCTTGTTAAATTTGAGTTTAGTAAGTTTTTGCTGTTGTTTTTTTACAGAGCTGGCAGCACAGGATAGAGGAACCAGGTTCTGCTAGGACAGCTAGTCTGATGGCTCAGTCTATAGGCAAAAGTCTTGACCTCACTCTCCCAGTAAGTAAAAGGTCAGCTAGGACAGCTAGTCTGATGGCACAGTCTATAGGCAAAAGTCTTGATCTCACTCTCCCAGTAAGTAAAAGGTCAGCTAGGACAGCTAGTCTGATGGCACAGTCTATAGGCAAAAGTCTTGATCTCACTCTCCCAGTAAGTAAAAGGTCAGCTAGGACAGCTAGTCTGTTGGCACAGTCTATAGGCAAAAGTCTTGACCTCACTCTCCCAGTAAGTGAAAGGTCAGCTAGGACAGCTAGTCTGATGGCGCTGTCTATTGGCAAAAGTCTTGACCTCTCCCTCCCTATAAATTTATGATCACCTGACTGCTAGTTGATCGTAACTAAACGAGAACACTAAAAGCTAGCGAAACAGGGTAAAAGTAATATTTGCATTGACAGGCTGTTATGTTTAACACAAATAAAGAATTAATACCAAATTAAATGCATATAACATTTATTAACTTGACTATATACTTTGAACTTTGTTATTAATACTGAGTGAAAATTACGCAATCTTAGGGTTGAAGCCATATGTGCGGGGGTAATTTTATGTGAATGCAGTACACTGCTTCAGGGTGTTAGTAAATATATAAGTATAACACCAGACCAAAAACCAGTTGTTGGTTTTACATCTTTGTCTAAGTATTTCTCACCTGACTGAACTGAACACATTGGTACATACTGATGTTTACTTAGCAGGATTATCTCCCATATCTCATATCTACATTCGCGTATCCCAGTTGAAACGGTACGTGTGGCGCAGAAATATTCCACGATAAACGAACGCACTTGGACCGTTCTAGAAGCAAAGCTAAAAATGCACAGTTTCGGAGAATAAAAAATAATGTATCAATAATATTATGCTCTTCTTTCATGCGTCCACTGAACTGCATAACATATCACTACATGTGGCTTGACATTGTTTTAGAAAGAAATAATGCAAACTAGCAATAGTCAGCATTTTAGTTTCAGTCAGTTACGTCTTGTCCCCTCAATCTACACGTGCCAAATTTTCCTGAGGTCAGCCTCGGTTCAGATCTATACCTGTCGTTTTCTTTACAGGTTCAAGTGTTTCAACCGGATACATGAATGTACCCCTAGAGTTAGTGTCATGTGTATGTAATGTTTGTATAGGTAGTATACGTAATGATATACAGTATTACGGTATATTTAACCCATGTACATTTATATGTATTTATATCTGTGTAGATAAGGTGTACACTCTACATGGGCTTGCTTTCTGACTTTTAGAATATCACATCCCTTGGAATCCAGGCACTTGCCCGCCACAATGCTTTTGCCACTGCCAAGCCTGCAAGGTAAATCACACTATGTGTGTAAAACAAAATCGCAGTTTTGTTGTGATAATCAGAATGGAGGCAATAATTCTCAAGTCAGTACATGGCAAGAATTCATACAGCCAGAGATACATGATTATCAAGAAAACATCAAATTTGCATCCTGTTTTTAAATTTTCAAATGGCACTCACATATTGATTTGATCAGTGTAATACGGTTGAGGAGTGCTAATTGATATGAAATGGTATATATCATAAGTGTGGATCAAATGTAGTACAAAACAAAGAATGGTTAAATGATTGGTTTTTATCATATGAATACCGTGTTATGCATTGTCATAAAGCCATCACATAAATTATGTTTATGTATCGTGTGTAATATCACTCCGGCAATGACGTCTCAATCGAATAAGAACAATCAATGTGACATCACGTCATTGTGAAGCTGACGCAATTTTCATCGTTTCAGAGGCGCCCAAAATATTTGTTTCAGATCACAATTATGGAGTTTACTTTGTTCTATATGATAAAAGAATCTGTCATTTGTTTCCCTTCAGATTAGATTTATGATACTCGTTTTGGATTTTTCATATTTGCTCACCAGAGGCTCGCAAACATGAAAAATCCAAAACTTGTATCATAAATCTAATATGAAGGGAAACTGATGTCAGATCCTCTATATATGCAACAGGAGAATTTCTATTCAATGAACCTGTTATACAAGGATAAACAGTGATACAGTAGTGATACAGAGAAATCTGTATTGCAGTGTAACTTATATAAAGTTAGCATCTTATAATAATTGCCACTTTTACAGTGTGTTTGACTTCCTGCTGAAGAGCGACATCTTGAACTGCCAACATTCCCAGTCCCACTTCATGTGTGTGAGCTATGCCCAGAAAGGGGCACTATGGAACATGTACGGCAAAAGGTGAGACACAAGACTTAGGGGATTCATGCTGTGATAATGTAGGAGAATATTTGGTTTTTATTTTTTTGTGAGATTTGAAAAGAGGTTCTCTTTGTGTAAGAAGGTGATAATGTCATTAAGTCAGTATAGTTAGTAAATGCTTAACCGGTGAAAGCAGAGAGACTATATAATTGTATCATGTTCATCCATCAGTCAGTCAGCCCATCCAATATTGTTGCAAGGCCTGAACTCCTAAATGGCTAAACATTTTTTAACAAAACTTTGTAGATGAATTTATGAAGTGTTGGGTACAACCTACATATCCTTACTCAACAAGCCTTAGATTACAGCTAGGATCTTCCAATCACCATTTTAACATTAAAACAGATTAATAACGATTGATTAATCTATTGCTTTTGAATACACTAAAAATTCTAGGTATTTTTATATGACACCTCTCTCTTTCATAGGCAGATATCAAAACCAAATTTGAATCCCATATTATTAAGAAGACCTTAAATTATAATGATAATGAAAAATTAATACAATTCGGTCTGAATGACTTTTTGTATCCCTGAAATGACCCCCACACCCCTTCCCTAAAAAAAATCCCTACCAACCTACCCTATTTTTTTGTAATTATGTTTCCGGAATTATACACCATTTTGTTGGCCTAAGGCAGCACATGTGAAATCCTGTAATTATATCTGTTTAAAAACACTATTATTAATCACATGTTTGTACTAAAGTTTTATTTCCAAATACACAACAAACTTAAAAGTGATTCAAAAAATTGAACACCAGTTGTGTGTTTTCCATGATCATGAAATGCTGACATTCAAGTAAGTGATAGAGCGTCAACACCAAAGATTCCGTAAAGTTAGGTTTTATTTGCTATCCGATGGCTAGGCCAACTGTCATCAGACCCTTTCTGATGACAGTTGGCCTAGCCATCCAAAACATGTAAACCAAATAGGTTCTGATGCCGGTTGGCCTAGCCATCCGAAACATGTAAAAAAAAATAGGTTCTGATGACGGTTGGCCTAGCCATCAGAAACATGTAAACCAAATAGGTTCTGATGACGGTCGGCCTAGCCATCCGAAACATGTAAACCAAATAGGATCTGATGCCGGTTGGCCTAGCCATCCGAAACATGTATACCAAATAGGTTCTGATGCCGGTTGGCCTAGCCGTCCGAAACATGTAAACCAAATAGGTTCTGATGCCGGATGGCCTAGCCATCCGAAACATGTAAACCAAATATGTTCTGATGCCGGTTGGCCTAGCCATCCGAAACATGTATACCAAATAGGTTCTGATGCCGGTTGGCCTAGCCGTCCGAAACATGTAAACCAAATAGGTTCTGATGCCGGATGGCCTAGCCATCCGAAACATGTAAACCAAATAGGATCTGATGCCGGTTGGCCTAGCCATCCGAAACATGTATACCAAATAGGTTCTGATGCCGGTTGGCCTAGCCATCAGAAACATGTAAACCAAATAGGTTCTGATGACGGTCGGCCTAGCCATCCGAAACATGTAAACCAAATAGGATCTGATGCCGGTTGGCCTAGCCATCCGAAACATGTATACCAAATAGGTTCTGATGCCGGTTGGCCTAGCCGTCCGAAACATGTAAACCAAATAGGTTCTGATGACGGTTGGCCTAACCATCTGAAACATTTAAACCAAATAGGTTCTGATGACGGTTGGCCTAGACATCCGAAACATGTAAACCAAATAGGTTCTGATGCCGGGTGGCCTAGCCATCCGAAACATGTAAACCAAATATGTTCTGATGCCGGTTGGCCTAGCCATCCGAAACATGTATACCAAATAGGTTCTGATGCCGGTTGGCCTAGCCGTCCGAAACATGTAAACCAAATAGGTTCTGATGCCGGTTGGCCTAACCATCCGAAACATGTAAAAAAAAATAGGTTCTGATGCCGGTTGGCCTAGCCATACGAAACATGTAAACCAAATAGGTTCTGATGACGGTTGACCTAGCCATCCAAAACATGTAAAAAAAATAGGTTCTGATGACGGTTGGCCTAGTCATCGTCAACACCAAAGATTCCGTAAAGTTAGGTTTTATTTGCTATCCGATGGCTAGGCCAACTGTCATCAGACCCTTTCTGATGACAGTTGGCCCAGCCATCCAAAACATGTAAACCAAATAGGTTCTGATGACGGTTGGCCTAACCATCTGAAACATTTAAACCAAATAGGTTCTGATGACGGTTGGCCTAGCCATCCAAAACATGTAAAAAAAAAATAGGTTCTGATGACGGTTGGCCTAGTCATCCGAAACATGTAAACCAAATAGGTTCTGATGACGGTTGACCTAGCCATCCAAAACATGTAAAAAAAATAGGTTCTGATGACGGTTGGCCTAGTCATCCGAAATATGTAAACCAAATAGGTTCTGAGCCGGTTGGCCTAGCCATCCGAAACATGTAAACCAAATAGGTTCTGATGACGGTTGGCTTAGCCATCTGAAACATGTAAACCAAATAGGTTCTGATGACGGTTGGCCTAGCCATCCAAAACATGTAAAAAAAATAGGTTCTGATGACGGTTGGCCTAGTCATCCGAAACATGTAAACCAAATAGGTTCTGATGCGGTTGGCCTAGCCATCCGAAACATATAAACCAAATAAAACCTACCTTTAGGGAATCCTTGTTGTTGACGCTCCATCACTTACCTATACAAATTTGTATTTACTAGGTATTATATGAAAGTAACGCTAGCGGCCCCAGTGTAGTTACACCATTAGCTAATCAACAAAGTCATGTTTAAAGCACATATCTGAACCAAAGGTACCTCTTAAGGAAGTAGATACCTGTCACCCGATGTGTTTGTTGTTATATATGGACTATGATATATCTGCTTGAAAAATATGTATTAACAATTGCTAGAGAACTGGTATCACCGTTGTCAGTATAATGTGACTGAGGGGGGGGGGGTCCTGCTGGGTGTCTTCGGCAGTATGTTTCAGTGAGGTAGCACTATGAAGTGGGCATCAGTTCCGTGCTATCACAAGGAGGCAAACACGAACATATCGCAGCCTCCCAAAACACACATGCATATATACTACACGCATGCTTCTTGCACACAGGGGAGGCCGTCCTTAAATTACCATAGCCGTTGATAGTACGTTAAACAATACTAACTAAACCAAACCAAATGTTTCCTTTGTAATATATGTACAGGAAGCATGTCAGTAGTAGCAGTGTTTTACTTGTTGTTGTGTGATTTTTAGAGAGAACTCCTCCATGTCTAGTCAGCTGGTTCTGAACCTAGACACATCAGACAGTGGTATTTACCACAATGGCGAGTCAGTGTGTATCTCGCTGTGTGATATAGCCAAACACTTCACAGACCAGGTAAGTAGTCTCCCCTGACCATATCCCAGTCAGTATCATGTTCATGCTTGAATGAGGTAGTCATTAGATCATTTTAATAAATGTTTAGCTGTAGGGCAGTAAAAGAAAAAGATATAACAAATCAATTTAAAATAAATGAAGTTTATATTGGTGAGTAACAGAAATACAGCTATTAAAAAGACATGTTTTGTTTTCTTAGTATTTACTCAAACATAGTGTTCCTTTTATGAATTGAATATAAAGTTTAAACATTGTATAGTGTTGAGCATGAATTGTTTAATTGCTATGTGTAAACGTTCATTGTTCTCACGGTTTCTAGGGAACCACGAAAATAGATGTAACAAACTTGATCAATATTTGATGAATATACTTCACAACCATTTGTTTATATGAGGTATCCATGAAAGTTTGTATCATGAACAAATCTAAATGGCTTCAAATCACGAAAGAAAATACCCATGAAAGTTTCTCCTTCTACAGTATTTACCTCTTTTGACAGGGCCTCTTCACTGCCGCTCTTGATTTCATTGGCACTGCCAAACAGAGGTTCCCTGTTCACACACAGAATGCTCATATATGGATGTCATGTGAACAGGAAATCCTGTTTGAAAAAAACCTGCTTAATAACAATTGGGCAGCAGCTGAACAGGCCGTCAACAACCTCCGGGGACTGGATGATGATGAGGCCTGTCTTAGGTAGGGTTTATCAGTCTTGGGTACAGATCGCTGGTCACCAGGCAAAAATGGGCTTTGTCAGTCGAGGGGGGAGCGGGGTTGGCTAAAATAGAGGTAATTAAGTTGTTACAGCAGAGGCTACAAGGCTGAGGTAGGGGTCACCAGGTAAAGGCATGGATCACCAGGCTAAGGTATGGGTCACTAGGCTAAGATAGAGGTCATCATGTTAAAGTAAAGGTTACTTGGCTAAGGTAGGAATCACTTGGATGTGGTAGAGGACACCAGGCTGAGGTATGAGTCACCAAGTTAAGGAAGAGGTCACTAACTTAAATTAGCTGTGATCTGTAGGCTAAACTATGGATTGTGAATAAATTTCATGTTGTTGTCTTTAATATAAAATTAAGGGCACTATCATATGGCGATGGCGGCCGGTGTCGAGTAGGTGTAGTTACAGGTAGTCAAAGATAGGGTAGTGTGAGGTTCTAGTCACTAACCTGAAGTAGGGTTGATCAGTCTATAAAGGTTTACCTGTCTGAATTCATGGTGTGTGAATTTATGGGGCAAGTGTCATCAAGTTAGGGTAGGTGTCACCAGGCTAAGGTAGGTGTCACCAGGCTAAGGTAGGGGTCACCAGGCTAAGGTAGGGATCACCAGGCTAAGGTAGGGGTCACCAGGCTTGTGTTCTGATATAACCAGTCTAAATGTTTGACTCTCTAATCTCAGAAAGGACAACCAGTTATTGTTAAAGAAAATTACCAATGGGCCACCAGGTTGAAATAGGGTTACCAGGCTTTAGGTAGGGGTCTCGAGTCTCAAGTAGGGGTCACCAGGTTTAAGTAAAGGTCATCAAATTAAGGTATGGGACACTAGGGTAAGGTAGGGGTCACCAGGTTATGTAAAGGGTCACCCAGATAAGATATGAGTCACCAAAAAGGGGTTGCTGACAAGGTGATCCGATATCACCTTATATTTTTATCCTCTGTTCGGAAATGTTGGCAATCAGACCAGACTATATTTCCTTTTGTCATAATAACTGTAAAAATCTTTTCTGGAAAGATGTCTTTCTTGCATGGAAAAATCTTACTATCCTTGAGGAAACTATACAGATTCAAAACAGATCTCCGACATGCCTATATGGTTAAACGAAAAAATCAAAATAGATAATAATAATGTTTTTTATAAGGATTGGTATAGGAAGGGAGTTGTAGTAGTTAATGACTTAAAAAAGGATAACAACAATTTCTTCAGTTTTTAGCTCACCTGGCACGAAGTCCGTCCGTCCTCGTCCATCAACTTTTCCTTTAAACAACTTCTTTTGAAGAATGGACAGGCCTAGAGTCATGATATTTGGCTGAAAGCTTCGTTGGTAGGAGCCCTACAAAGTTTGAGAACGAAAATGACCTTGACCTGTTTTCAAGGTCACAGGGGTCAAATATGTCAAAAACTCACAACGACTTCTTCT